GAAGGAAGGAAGGAAGGAAGGGGGAGGGGAGGGGAGGGGAGGGGAGAGGAAAGGAAAAAGGAAAGGAAAAAGAAAGCTGTGGTTGTTTGACTATGAATAGGTGCTTCTTAAACTACTTGAAAACTTAAAAACTACATACTTCTTTACCCTATAATAGTTTTGATTTCTCATTGTTTGAAATGTCTATAAAAATGTACTAAAATAGTGGTATCCTCAGCATTATTCTTCTGTGAATTAGCCATTTAAATAAATTGTACAGCGGTAATTGCATTTAGTTTTCCTAAGTATTAGTTTTCCTAAGTATTAAGTGATGATACTATGCTGAATGATGATTTCAGGAACATCAGGATCAGATTCCCCAGGACAGGCTGTGGAAGCTGAAGAGATAGTAAAACAACTTGATATGGAACAGGTGGATGAGATCACTACCAGTACTACTACGTCAACTAATGGAGCAGCTTACTCAAACCAAGCGGTTCAAGTGAGGCCATCGATAAATAATGGTTTAGAAGAAGCAGAAGAAACAGTTAATCGTGATATCCCACCCCTTACAGGTGAAAAAAAATTTCTTTTTTAAAAAAAACCTCTATCTTCATAAGTAGTAAATAAAAACATGGTATTATTTCTTAAATGAGCCAATTAAATGCTTAAATTTTTGTTTCTTGAAGTTAAAAAAAAAATTGAAACAAAACTTCATCCTGAAAATCCAAGTCATTATTTGCACCTGTAGGTCTGAGAGCACTACTTAGAAGCAGTTTCATACCTTGCTTCATCTGTAAATGATACCACCACCAACAACCTTGGGGACTTCTGTTCCTGGATCTCTTCCTGTATCCTATTGATGCTGCCTAACTCTGGATTCTTAAAAAGCCCTAACATAATTTCTGTGTTCCTGAGACAGTTAACATTAAAATGTGGAAACTATTTATTAACCTCTGAGAGCTGTGGTACAAAAAAGTATAAGATGAAGTTGTGGCTGAGTGTGGTGGTACACACCTGTAATCCCAGCACTCAGGAGTCTTTGAGTAGAAGGATTGCCTAGAGTTTGAGACCAGTCTGGGCTACATAGTGAGCTTAAAGCCAACCTGAACTATGTAGCAAGACCTTCTCTCAAAAATAGAGAGATTGTGGGTTGGGTTTTTTTGTTTTTTTTTTTGTCTTTTCTTTTTGAGATAAAGTCTGTATGCAGTTCAGGCTGGCCTTGAGTTCACTTTATAGTCCAGGCTGGTCTTGAACTCTGCGATCCTCCTGCCTCAGCCTCCTGAGTGCTGGGATTACAGGCCCGCACCATCACGCCCAGCTTCTACTGTTTGTAAAAGTGGGAAAAAAAAAACACTAAAGTTGGGCCCTCTTCTCCCTCTGGGACAGGTATTTGTTTTCTGTTCTTGTGGTACCACGTATTTGAGAGAGCCCAGAAGATCTGTGTTAGTTAAATACGATTTGGACCCATAATTCCAGCACTCGGGAGGCTAAGGCAGGAGATTCACCACGAGTTCAAGGCCAGCCTGAGCTAAATAGTGAGTTGAAGCCTAGCCTGAGTGATTAGTGAGGCCCAATCTCAAAAAAAAAAAAATTGTTATGAGGAAATAGAATAATATAAGTACTTATCTCAAATATAAAAGAGAAACATTTTTTAAATAACTGAAACAGCAGGAAGCTTTTTTTTTTTTTTGAGCCAAGTTCTCCCTATATAATGAGGCTGACCTTGAATTCACTATTCCAGGCTGGCCTTGAGTTCACAGTGATCCTCCCGCCTCAGCCTTCCCAAGTGCACCACCACCTCTGGCTACAACAGGAAACATTTTAAAGAAAAAATACACAGTTGTGAAGTGTCTACATAGTATAACCTAATGCTGTTGTGAAGAGAAAAGCAGCAAATAGAGGAAAGATATATTTTAAATTTATTAAGCAAAACATTCATATCTTTAATGTTAAGCACAAAATTTAATACTGAATCTTACAAGCAAATCAACAATATTATATAAATAGGGAGCTCATTCTTTGGTGGATAAAACTTGAATGACTTACCTTTGACCTATCATTTTATGTTGGTGACTTTACCCTGGGTTATAAGGCTAATGAATGGTAAAGTATAAAGTCCAGGGCTCTTGGCTTCTTGTTTGATGTTTGTTCTGTTTTTGTTTGATGTTTGTTCTGTTTTTGTGCTGTCTTAGTATTTATTTTTTCTAACAGCTGTGAAGCTGGAGAAGATAATTCTATAACTTCTGCGGTTTCTAGAGAAGAAAATAAGAGTGTAGTTGACCCCCTCATTCCTTTATTCCCTGAGCATGTGCACACATTTTTTTGGGATGGGAACTGTTGATACAGAATAGTAAGAGAAAATTACTATATAGTGTGATGAATACCATTGAAAATAAGTGAGCAAAGTGACACAGGCTCATTGCATTTACTGTGGGATGGTAAGATTAACAGAGGTAACATTGCTCATAAAAGATAAATACGAAAATAAAGTAAGAAAAAATGAAAACAAGCACAAAAGTACTACTTTTTCCAACTTTGAGAGTGTAGTCAAAGAGAACAAGAAGGATAGTTGGGTGCAGTGGTGTAAGCCAGTAGTTCTGGGACCTCTGGAGGCTGAGGTGGGAGAACCACTCAGTCCCAGGAGTTTAAGGGCAACATAATGAGACACTTAAAAAATAAATAAATAAAATACAAGGTTTTGAAGGTTAAATGTGATGAAGTAAGAAGAATACTTAGTTTGTAGAAACTCATTACATTCTTTCCTTTGTCTGAAGTTAAAGTAATTGGAAGATAGTTTCCATTATCCCCTGATTGGTATAAATTGTCACAGATTAATAAAGCTTCTGTACTATCTCTGATGTGCTACATTGGACATACATACTAGATGACCTTGTTTAAGAAGGTATAAATATATCATAATTGTAAAAAGAGTTTTTATCTTGAAAGACTATTATCCACCAACATTCCATTACTGTAGAGTGATTACAGCAATTTCATTGGGTTCCACCTTAAACTTTTTATCCCTGGCATATTACCTGCTTAGCTTGTAAGAAATCTTTGTCCTCTCCAATTTAAGTTGTAATCATTGTTTTAGAAAATTCTCAGTATATTTCTATAGTGTTATCAATTGATGCAACCTTAGTTTAAACAGAATGAATTATGTGGCATGAAATATAGATTTACCTCTTTGTTTTGTGTTTTTGTTTTTGTTTTGAGACAGAGTCTCACTGTGTACTTCAGGCTGGCCTTGATCTCACTGTGTAGTGTAACCCAGGCTGGCCTTAAACTTGTGATCCTTCCATCTCAGCCTGCCCATTGCTGGGATTACCAGTGTGTGCCACCACACTCACCTTAGAATTGCTTCTTGATTATAGTTGCTTGTAAGTTAGAAATAAGGTAAATTTTCTGAAGCAATGATTTCTATATAAAGTAGCATTTCTTTATAAGAAAGTTTTTCTTTTGCCCTCCTGTGTCTGGAACCAAAGACCTTGTGCACTCTAAGCCAGTGTTCTGCTGCTGAGCTACATCCCCAGCCCAGCCAGACAGCAGAGTTTCTTAACTTCTAAGGATCAAGATCATCGATAGGCTTGAAAGTCCTGAGACAATGTACATACATTTTGTGTATGTATATATGTATGTATGTATAGATGGATGGATGGTCTTTTTGAGACAGGGTCTCACTATGTAGTTCAGGCTGGCTAGGAGCTTACTTTGTAGCCCAGGCTGGTCTTGATCCTCCTACATGAAAACAAAAATCTTATATGTTAATGAGGTGTTCCCTATGATGATCAATGCATGCATACACTGTAACTTTTAAATGAGGTTAAACATTAAGCTCTTGAGGCATTTCTCTCCTTAGTAGTGAAAACATTCAGAATCCTTTCTTCTAGGCTTTTGAAATGTATAGCATATTATTGTTACCTGTGGTCACCCTCCTGTGCAGTCGCAACCCAGAACTCCTTGCTCCTATCCGTAGCTTGGTGTACTCACTGATCAGCTTCTTTCCTCTCACTCCTACCAGCCTCTGATAACCACCATTTAGTGAAATGAACTTTTTTAGGTTTTGAGTATGAGTGAGATCATGTTGTAATTGTCTTTCTGTGCCTGGCTTATTTCACTTAACCTAATGATCGCAAGTTCCATCCATATTGACGGGATAATAGACTTTGTTTTATTTTGTTTTGGTGGTGCTAGGGATCAAATCTAGGACTTTGCACATGCTAAGCAAGTTCTCAACCACTGGACTATATCCTAGTCCCTTAGTGGACTTTTTTATTTTAATAATAAAAGAAGGAAAACATATTAACAAACAGACATCCATTTACAAAACAGCATAAGAACAATGCACGCAATACAGTTACAGACAAAGTGGTAGGAAATGAACAATGGTTGTTGTATTACATATTGATATCTTCAAACGTTAGTGGTTTTCTTAAAGACTGTTCTAATGGATCTTAGAACTTTTAAAACCATATTTGAATCTATTGTCAGCATATATTCCACAGCCTATATGTGCAAGGTGATGTATTAACTGCTACAAGAGCACCACACAATCTTTATAATTATTACATGTAAACCCTATTCAGATAGAAATTAAATTTTTGTGGAGTATTATTTTTCTAGTAACTAGTAAATTTTAGCTGATAGGGATCTTCATTCTAGTCACTATGTGGGTTGCCATTTGTCTGTAGGTGTTACTTTTTCCCTTGGATGTAAAGTTCTTTCTGTTACTAAATTTCCTTCTAAATGTTGTTTACATATTATTTCTGTCAACCTAAAATATAAAGAACCTTGGGAAGATGTTTTATAGAAAGAGAAATACATACTTCCTGGTAAGCATTGAGTAAAAGTTAACATTTTCCTTTTGACTTTATTATAGCACCAGTAAATCCAGAGAGTGGTTATTCATCAGCCCATGCAGAGGCCACCTACGAAGAAGACTGGGAAGTATTTGACCCGTGAGTTGTTTCTGTGGTTTAAACATTTTTTCTTTCTTCCTGTAACATTTCAACTTTGTAATGGTGCAAAAAAGATATGTATTCAGTAAAAAGCTTACTTTGAAGTTTGATTTTTTTCCTGGACTAGCAGTGTGTGGTGGGATACTTTCTTGTGATGCTGGACCAGCTGCAACTCTCAGTCAGCCGTGTGATAAGGAAGACAGCCAATGCTCTGCATTGTACTTTATTGCTAAATATTGGTATTTGGTAGGTTAGGTATATTGAATGCATTTTCAACTTACGATATTTGTAATTTAAGATAGGTCTATGAGAAGGTAATCCCATTGTAAATGAGGAACATCTATTTTACAAAGAACATGATCTGCAGGTAATTAACTTTTACTGAGTTAAGGAGTTTCAGTTTGTACTTTTCCACTTTTACATACATGTTTTGTAAGTCTAGTTTACTTGGTTAGGTATGCTTTGCTTTAGGCTGAACTTAGTATTATGCTTTCTAAAGAAACGTTGAAATTTTCATAAAATTTGATTTATAGCTATTATTTCATCAAACATGTTCCACCACTGACAGAAGAACAACTAAATAGGAAACCTGCTCTTCCATTGAAAACAAGAAGCACACCAGAATTCTCCCTAGTTTTAGACCTGGTAAGTGTATTATCTATAGCAGTAGAAAGAAGAGAAATTCTCTTCTAAAGTAATCGTTTAGAATACCTAAAAGAATACAGGGAAAGCTGGTGCAGTGGTGCACACCTGTAATTGCAGCATTGAGGGAGGCTGAGGCAGGAGGACTACAATTTTGAATCCCATCTGGGCAACTTTGTGAGACACTGTCTCAAAACAACAAAAATGCCTGGGGATACAGCTCAGTGGTGGAGTGCCTCTGGGTTCAGTTTTTGGTACTGGGGGAGAAATATGAATGAATGAGTAGCTATCACTATATATATCTATATATCTCTCTCTCTATGTATAGATATAGATATATATCCCCTAGATGTTCTGAAATGCCTTTGTTTAAGTACAGTTTAATGGTACAATTTCCAGTTTAGTTTGGGTCAGGTATTCTTTTTGAAAATAAATCAGACTTACTTTCTTTTTGCAGTCCTGGAGATCAAGCCCAGGGTCTTAATGTGTTAGACATGTGCTCTACCACTGGGTACCCCAGCCTGTGATTTCCTTATTATCTCCCAAGAAATTCTAATTTTATTTCATTAGAAATACGCCTAGAAAGCGCAAGGTCGTGAGTTCGGTTCCCGGTACCGGAGAAAAACCAAAAAAAAAAAAAAAAAAGAAATACGCCTAGATTTCTTCTGTTCCATCAGGTTCCCATATTTCCCTGAATGATTAAATATAACTTGGGTCTGAGTAAGTTAACTGCAAGAGTAAACTCTTTCCTGTTTTTATTTTTGCACATTATGTAAAAACAGTAAACTATTAATAGTGTCAAAGAGATCAAATTTTAATCTCTTCACACAGGCTACTAAAGCCTATCATAAGCTCTCTTGATGTGATGTAAAATTTATATTTTAGCTGGCTGTGGTGATGCACACAGCTATAATCGCAGGACTTGGGGATGGTGAGATAGGAGGATAGCCACACGTTTGAGGCCAGCCTGAACTACATACAGTGAGACCCTATCTCAGAAAAAAATTGTATTTTAGCTGGGTGTGGTAGCACAAACCTGAAATCTCCCAGCACTGTGGGAGACTGAGGCAGGAGGATCCAAAGTTCAAGCACATCCTGGGCAGTTCAGCAACTTTCTGAAAATAAAAGGGTGTAGCTCAACATGAAGGCCCTTGGGGTCGGTCCCCAGCCAGTACTCCAACAAATGTAAAATAATTATAAAAGCAAAGACCTCTACTTTAGGGTTCATGAGAGGTTTGAAAACAGTATCTTACATCTTTTGCTAAGACAATTTAATATATAGTCATTACACTTATCACCTGCCTACACTTTTGTCATATTGGCAAAGGGAGTATCTTATTATATAGGAAAATATATCATTTTTAAATATTTGTCACTGGTACCCTATAATTAGAGATGTGGTTTAGTTCTCATAAAAAATTTATCTTCAATTTCCAGTACAAAAAAAAATTTAAAAAAAATTATCTTGAAGGTAGAGACTGTTCTTTTAAGTTTCTAATTAATATATAATATAGTTGTGAGAGTTCATTGCCATAGCCTTTACCTGGCCAAAGAGACATATATAAAAAGTACTGCCTGGATCTTAAAGTACTTTTCTTTTTCTTCTCTTTTTCTCTTTCTCTTCCCCTGCCCCTTCTCCTTTTCCTTTTGTGGTCTGGGGATTGAACTAGGGCCTTCTCACTGTGCTACATCCTCAGTAATTCTTTTGAGTGTTTTTTTTTTTTTTGTCTTTTTGAGACAAGGTCTCACCATGCAGTTCAGGCTGGTTTTGAACTTTGTAGCCCAGGGTGGCCTTGAACTCACAAGGATCCTCCTGCCTCAGCCTCCTGAGTGCTGGGCTTACAGATGTGTGCCACCACACCCAGCTTCTTTGGAGTTTTTTGTTTTTGTTTGTTTTGAGACCAGGGACTCCCTAAGTGACCAAGCTGCACAGTTTATCTGGCTCTAAGATACTTTTAGATGAGTAAAAAAAAAAAGTTTTAGAACTGATTATGACTAGTTGGATTTGAGTACAAGTTAGAGGTAAAGTGAAAGATTTTTCTTGATTTTTACATTAGGTGTTCACGAGGTCATGATACTAAGTTTGGCCATATTATTTTGACTCCAATGTGAAAGATAAGAATTTGTTGAGCATAAATAATTTTATAGAAGTAGATGAAGAATGATAAAATTTTAATAAGCTGAAAATGATGTAGTAAAAATTTTTAATTCACTTGTAGGAAAGATGATACATTTTCTTAAGAGGCTGACAGAATACTTGAAATGTGTATGTAGTCTGATTGGCTGTTAAAGGAGGCATAACTAGAGCACAGTATTTTTGCTCTTTGCCTCCTCAAAGTTTAATTTAGGTTAAAAGAACACATCAGCTAATAGTAAGATATGGAATCAAAACCTGTGGTCATTCATGCTTCATTTTAATTTACCTTCAAACACTGGAAATTTTAGGGGTAGTGATTAGCAGCTTTATTTTTTAAAGAAAAAGCTGGGTGTGGTGGCACACACCTATAATCCTTGTACTCTGGGAAACTGAGGAAGGAGGGTCAAAAGTTGAGGAAAAAAACTGAGGAAGCTGGTCCAAAGCCCAGCTTGGGCCACTTAGCAAGAGCCTGTCTAAAAATAAAAATTTTAAAGGGGTTAAAGATTTAGCTGAGTTCAAAAATCTTGAGTTCAATTCCCCAGTATCGCCCTGCCCCAGAAAATCCTGTCACTTAATCATTTAATACTAACGGAAGCCTTGCTTTTGTTTTTAAGCATTTATGACTTGAGAAATACAAATATTTGCATTTAAGAAGTCTTGTTTTCTTACTCTGTTAATGAGAAAACAGGATCTGGTAATCAAAAACAAGTTTTCATTGACTGCTATTTAAACAACATCTGTTCCTATTGTAAGGTTCTTTAATGGAAAGTTGAAGATAAGGAATTATGTGAGAATATATATATACATATATATACACACACACACATATGTATGTTGTATGTACTATGAATGATTAAATTCTAAACTTACATTTGCTAAGTGTAAAAAATATATGTGTGATTTTAATAGAAAGTTGGCAACTGCAGAGTTCAGAGCAGTGGTTCTCAAACCTGAGAATACATCAAAACCACCCGAATAGCATGTTAAGCCAAAGATTGCTGGGCTCCATTCCCAGTGTGTTTATTAATACCAGAAATGGACGGGACTGGGGATATAGCTCAGTGGCATAAGTGCCTGCCTGGCAAGCACAAGGTCCTGAGTTCGGTTCCTGGTACCAAAAAAAAAAAAAATCAGAAATGGAGCGGGAGAACTTCATTTGCATTTCTGATTAGTTCCCAGATAGTGGTGGTGCTGTTTATTGGTCGAGGAACTACCGCTACATTTGAGAACAAGTGATTCCTATCCTAAATTGCTAATATCACATATAATAATATATGAATGTAAAACTCTACATATGAATGGATGCTTTAATTTTTTTTGTAATTGTGGTTACATAAAGTTATTTGACATTTCTTTCAATACAGTTTCATTCAACATGTTTTTTTTTTTTTTATTTTAAGGATGAAACACTAGTGCATTGTAGTCTAAATGAGCTAGAAGATGCAGCACTTACTTTTCCAGTCCTTTTCCAAGATGTGATATATCAGGTAATTAAAAAAATTTTTAACTTGATTTTTGGCCTCTTAGGTCATATTTTAAGCAAAACAAAACAAAACAAAAAACCAAAAACTTTTTAACTTGATGTTCAGTGTGTTTTTCTGTAGATTTTCTGATGGATTTCATCAGTCTTTGTTAACACAAAGTAGCATTCATGCTAGATAGTTACATAAAATATTAATTTGTTAACAAAAGAACACTAACTTTTCTTACCCAGTGATATTTGCTAGTTTCATAATCTGTTTGCCAGCAGGTGGAGGCAGGAGCACTGATATAGATCCTTAGGAGGAGCATGCCAGGTTATAACACCTGGTGGTGTCCCCCCCCCAGTGTAATTAATATAAAGAAAACTCATTCCTTGTTGGTCATTTTAATTTCTGATAGCAGTATCATCTGTAAAATTCTGGTTTAATAGGCCTACTTTATATTGATCACAAAAGTCAAGGATACTCTTCTAGTTGCTACTTTACCTAGAGTTTGGTATTTCTCTCATCTGTGTGATGGGAAGGGAACCATGCAGAATATATAGTTAAGATTTCACTGTGGATATTGTCTGTTGGCCATATTTTTAAGATCTCTTTGCGTGAAGATTATATTAAGTGAAAAGTATTTTTCCATGTTGGCTGTTCCGTTGTTTATTAATTAGTACTATATTCCTATGTACCAGTTGTTGAAAGATTGGGGAAGGGTCAAAAGAGTTTGTTGTTTATCACAAGGAAGCCAACCTAGGGGTTAACTACATAGACCCATGAAGCATTTACTGTGTGGATAATAAAAAGGTTTTGTGGCTGTTTATGTGCTCTTTATAGGCAGTTAGAATGTGGTTGTAGTTTTCTTGGCAGATTTTAGTTGCTGTCTCACAGGAATTATAAAATTTCAGAGTTAGAAGTTTGTGCTTCAGGGCTACTTTACCAAATTTCTCTAGTAATGAGTCGTAAAATTTATTTTAGCAGTAATTATCAGTTCTACTTTATTGTAGATAAAGGACATGGTAGTATCTGAATAGTATATTCTCCTTTTTATGTAAACTAATTTTAGTTATGATAATCAGGATAAGCAAAATATACATAAAGGATTATAAAGGATTTTAAGATGTTTCTTTTCCCTTTTAACTGGTTATTATTTGGTTTAAGGCGATTCTTTTTCTTGATAAGACATTCTTTACCAAATAGGTTACTCTTGTTTATTGCCCATCAAAAGTAGTTTTTTGGCAAATGTAAATAGTATAGTATTAACTTAGCTTTGACTGTTTAGCTCAATAACCTGGTTGGTGTTTTGTTGGTGTTTATTTTATTTTATTTTTTTTCAAGATAGTGTTTGAAAACTGGCTTTAGGGCTTTGAGTTTGGAAAGAAAGCTACTTGAAAAATATAGGTAAATAATGATTTGGAGATGACTCTTCTTAAGCTTCCAAATTTGAAAATAATTTCCTTCAGATGGTTTTGGGTCTGTTTATGTAATTTTTAATAGTGAAATAAGAAACCTGGAAAGTTAGGACCATAAAGTTGAATCTTTTTTTCTTATTGTTCCCACCATTTCTGCTTTAACTCTTATCTTTTTAAAAGTTCTTACTATTTTAATATGGATCTGGATAGTTGTCTTATTTTGAAGAGGCTTATAGCAATACATATTGACTAATACTTTACTATACCTACCTCTGGAATTCTAAGAACTCTTTATATTCTATATTTTGAAACTGAAACTGAAAAAGAAATGATCTAAATTGTAATGACCAGAGTTTGAATCTTAGAAGCTATAGAGATGGTTCTATTTTAATACTATGATTTATTTACTACATCAAGGACAGAATTTAGTTCACTTTCAGTAAATTTTTGAGTATGTCCATAGTTAACATTGAGTATATTCCCTTGGATTTCTGGTTTGGCATAGCCAGACATTCTCTCTGCTTTTTTAAAAAAAATTGCTGAAGAAATCTTTGGGTTAGGGTTCCCCTAGTTTTTTCAGACCAGCAAGCTCCCTTTAAACAGGGAATGATGTCTTTTAAACTTTCAGTGGTGTTGTCTCCATCTACTGGCAAAGAAGAAATATACACAAGGGTCTGTGATGATCTAAGAGATTTTGGAGAAACCACATTATTAGGTAAGATGTAACTTACATATTTAACCACTATGCTGTAATGTGGACCACTTAAAGGTAGAAACCTGTAAAATACTGTATATACTCTTTATTTTAAAAATTTGAGGTAAAATTTACATAATATGAAAGTAACTATTTTCCAGTGAATACATATGAAATATGTCAGTCAGTTCCATAGTATTATATTCTATCTCTTCTCCTCTACCCCATGCCCCCTTTCTTTTTCTATGAAGATAGGATCAGATCCTTTATCTGAATCAAGGCCAGATGAGACTTACTTTTTTGTTGATGTTGTTTTTATAACGTTGTTATGGTTGATCCATATCTAATTTTAATTCTACATATCATTTCTTTCATTTTGAAATAATTTATAGGGTAAATTCTAGTACATGTATCTTAATAATCTTCTATATACACAGTTGGCAGACTTGTTATAAAAGGCCAGTTGAAAATATTTTAGGTTCTGTGATCATTGTTGCAGTACTTTTTCTGCCATAGTAGCCATAAATAAAAAAGCATGGCTGTGTTACAATAAAACTTTGTTTACAAAAATAAGTGGAGGGATATATTTGGCCAGTAGGCCATAGTTTGCTGATACATGGCCTAATAATTATGAGAGTATATACAGTAAATTTACATACTCATTCTAAAGGAAAGCAAGTAATCAAATGCTCATTAAAATTTTTGTTATCATATATAGAAAATTTAAATTAGGTCCACAGAAATCTGGTTGTGAGCTTTCCTAGTTTTTTTCCCCAGGTCAAAGCTTGAGGGAACTTTGAGGTGGCCACTCTTCACCTTTAAATATTGCCCGACTAGCTGGGCGTGGTGGCACACACCTGTAGTCCCAGCACTGGGGAGGCTGAGGCAAGAGGATCACTGTGAGGCCAGCCTGGGCTACAAAGTAAGTTCAAGGCCAGCCTGAACTGCCTAGTGAGACCCTGTCTCAAAAAGACAAAAACAAAACAAAACAAAAAAATAACACCCCAAAAAACAAATAGATACTGTCTGACTTCATGATACATACTCTTTATTTGATTGATAAGTAGGAATAAACTTGATTAATGAAAGTGTTAGAATTTTTGAGCAGGTAGATTATTGAAGTCTAAATTTTGTACATATTTGAATTTCATTTCATTAGAGAACAAAACATGTAAAAAATCCATCTTAAAAAGTTAATGTGCTAGGCCGGGGATATAGCTCAGGGGTGTATCGCCTGCCTGGCAAGCGTGAGGTCCTGAGTTCAGTTCCCAGTACAACCCTCACACATGAAAAACCAAAAAAACAAAGTTAATGTACTACCACTGTATGGGGTAAATAGGTTACAGTTTCTTGTGTAAGGATACAGTCATTTAAATGAAGAACTGATTTAAAATAGGATATGGCACTCACAAAGGCAAAATGTATAGATTTTTCTTTGAATTGGTGTTTTAATGAGTTTTTTTTTCCTGAAAATTGTTTTATAAGTAGTTATTGGGCAAGGATTTATTCATAAATGGTAAAAATGCATTTGATATCTGGAAAAACAAGTGCATGATCACTTCCAGTGCACATGTTTAATCTGTATATTTAGTTTATATTGACACGTTTTCAGGAAATCCATCTCATGGTGTTTCTCAGTTAAGAGGTCTCCACTGTATTTAGTTTCTGTTCCTGCAGATCCACCAATTCAAGACTGTAGGTCATCTCACTCCCTCTTCCATCCAGAAGATGACTTCTATCCACAAGCAGGACTGAATCAAAAGACATTTTTCACTTAGCTCTTGAGCTGAAACACCTCCTCAATGACCTTCCTCTATCTCCATCAAGAACTGGAGCTCAATTTTTTGAAGATGTAATAGAGCTACTCAGCCCAAACGTGGCTGTTTGAAGACAAAAAGAAGATACCTCATATGTTTCACCACAGTGCAGCCAAACGTAACTGTGTTGTCCAACTCCTCAATTCTGTAAAGTATGGCAGGGGAATCTGATTTTTTGATTGTTCACCAATAAGACTTTAGCCAGTCAGTGGCTTTCTGAAGATCAGTAAAATCAACAGACTTTGGGTCAGCTGTCCAGAAATCAGATTGTGGTAAGCACTCAAGGAGAGAGATAGGATCTTATAGGGAGCTACTCACACAGGATGCTTTTGTTTTATTGGTAAAGGTTCCTTTTATGGGAAAAGTTGGGGAGGGGGAGGAGGTGGGGTGCTCCATGGTTAGCAGAGTTCATCCTCTTCCTATTATTATAGTTTGTTCCTTGGAAATTTTATAGCATAGGATAATTTTTATACCACAAAATGAGAATTAGAGGGTCAGTGTCTTCTTTTCTTTTCTGTACACTTTCCTAGAAAAGTTAACTTTATTTGCTCCATGAAGAAAATCGTTTAAGGGAGAAAATTCATAGTAAAAAGCTAATTGTACTTTTTCTTTCCACAAATTCTGAATATTACCAACCAAGAAGCATTTTTAATTGTTGAACTTCATCAATAGTATATATGTATGTTTGTGCCTTAAATATAACATTTGGAATCATAGACACTTAGTATTGAAGATAATAGTTTAACAGAGAACAATATTTTGATAATTGCAAATAATATTTAAAATATTACAAAGTAATTTTAGATTAATTTTCCAATCCTTATTAGTAAGTATAGTAAATCATTTTTAGATTAAAAAAAGAAAGACACAGATTAACTTTTACAGTTCTGTCCTTCACCAAACCAAAAAAAAAATGTATTTCATGGGAAATTCTTTGTTTTAAAACATGTGTTTCAAAATTAGAAGCAGTTCATTAAGAAAATATACTGTGTGGAATATTCTTGTTTAATACTCAAAAATATATTTAAGAGGTGACAGTTGATTACTAAACTTACTAAATTGAAGGCTTCATTCTCTTTGAACCTCAGAGTTTGT